CGAGCGCCGAGCGCAGAGCCCCGCGCGCCCAGCCCCGCGCGCCGAGCGCAGAGCCCGAGCGGACCGCATGGGAACGTGTTCGAGACTGACACAGGGAAAGACCCCGTTCCAACCCAGCGTCCATGTAGAAACATTTTAATATGTACAGGAAGCAACATATATAAAAAGGTAAATTACAGTTTCAGTTTATGAGCAGAGAGCGCCTTCTGCTGCTTCTGTTTCTTCTTTTCTTTGTTTGCATCTTTGATTTGCATTTTTACTTGATCTTGTAGTTGAGAGAAGAAGGCCTGAGATGATTTCAAGACCTTGTCTTTACCTTCATCCTATCAATGGACAAAATATTTGTTATAAGCAAGAAATGTACAAACAGTAGCATTATACTCCTTACCCACATACAATGGTATTTGGCTTTGGAAAGGGATCATACTCTTATTTCTTTAGCTAGCTGGAGTGGTTTAAGAATGCAGAGAAAAAGATCCTTTGAAAATCAGTTATCAGGTAGTTATTTCAATTAATAAGTAGTATGGCAGGTAAGAACAGGCACCAAGAACAGATCCTTACAACTATGTATCTGCATTGTGTATTCTGCCCTCCTTTTGAAAAGACAAGCACAAGATGCTTTACAAGTAACCAAGTTATTTTTCGTATCAGTTTCCAACACCTCAACATTTCAGAGATTTTAAAAATTTGATTTATAAGCCATCATAAGTGGCAATCCAATGTACTATTTTATAGCATGCAGAACAAAATTCATCTAGGGAGATTACAGGGAAGGTTTCACAATAAGAAGTATAAAGTTAAACAGGAATAATCTATTTTGAAATAGCTTGTTATAAAAAGCTTGGAAAATTGAAAACTAAATAGAAACCTCATCCTCAATTATGCATGCAAGTAATCCCACTTAATCCAGGAACCACTTCAAATGCAGGAAATAAGAGCATAGGTCTTAGTATTTGCAGGAATACCACCTTGGTAATGCATATATCTAAAGCAATTTCTGCTTCATGAATATACTTCGATATAAAGTAATTGTATCATACAATTTTTTCATATCTTTCTATATCTAAAGATTAAGTTGCTCACAAACTCAAATATATTTCATACTGAGTAAGCTTCTAAAGGTTCCAGCAACCATTTAGGTGTGATTTATGCATAATCAAAGCCATAACCTCTACATGAATATGTATTATAACCAAGGGGGTCACTGCAAAGTGCAACCAGAGCTATTTTTCACACCCCTATACTGACATCATGCTCTCAGGATCATCAGCAAAATCAGGACTAAAAAGGCATCCAACACTATGCATTAGACAGTCAAAAGTAGGATTAGAACAATCCTTCCAAAACTGTAGTGCAAAAGAATGCAGAGAAAAGGGAGAGAGGCAGCAGCTACACTGACCTTGTACGCATTATCAGACATAAATAAGGTAAGAAGTTTTGGGTGGTAAGCAGATACACTAGTTGTGTACATGAATTTTTAAGGGGATGGAAAAGATGTGTGTATCAAGAGGGATGGGAGAGAAACAACCCTATGCTTAGTAACTTTGTTACACAGTTCCCTTTCATCTCTCTATGTATTATCTAGCCTTAAGATTTTAATGCTCTTTAGCTGGGAAGCTCCAAGTTACACAGGACTACTTAGGAGAGCCTTACCTTGAGCAGAGATGCTTTGCCTTCTTTTGTAAGCCTTTTTAGTTTTGCCGCAGCAGCTTTTTTGCTAAGTTTTGTGCCTTGTTCTGGTTTCATCTTTTCCAGAAGCTTCTGGCGTTTCTCCTTTTCTCTCAGCTTCATACGTTTACGAAGCTTTTTCTTTCTCCTTTCTCGTTTTTTGTCCGTGGGAGTCTTTTCTGCATCTGTTTTTACATCACCAGCTTTGTTCTTTTCCTAAAGAGAATGAGATCTCTAGATCCGTAAGTGTGCAAAAGAAAAGACTCACTTCACAGCACTCAGATCTATATCAGTGTTGCCATTGTTTCAAGCCTTTAGCCAGCTCAGGGCGATGCCACATTAAGGCAAAGGCCAAAAACTGACAAAAGCTGGGAAGTGAGATTTGTGCAATTGATTGAAGACACCCTAACTGCTCCCCTCTATTGTCATCTAGCTTTTCCCTTCCAAATATCCTTATATACATTGGGAAAATAATTACCATCACATAACAGCCGAGAAAAAAAAGAAAGCATAACATCACATGGAAGCCTAAGCAAATGAATTCACTATTTCCCTCCTTCCCACTCCAAAAAATAATTTAAAAAGCACATACACCCCACCAGAACCCCAACAACCAACACTAAAATGGTAGGCAAGAAGGTCCACCAGGTGAGGAGGGGCAGAATTCTCCCATTGATCTGGCAGCCAGTACACCTTTCTATCAACAGTTCAGATACTCTCATTATTTTAATTTATATTTACCTTGATCTCCTCTGGTGCTAAGAGAGCAGCATCACTAACAGCAACAGGTGCTACTTCTTCCATACTTATAGCTGGAAGGTTTGAGACTATTTTAACTTCTGGCACAGGCTAGAAAAAAGGAAACATATCCAGGACTGAGCACACCATCTCACAGCAGCTGACAGCTAACTTAAGATACTCAATTCTCAGTTTTGTTTAGAGACAATTACAGTGCATTTAATATGAAATCAGAACAAGCTCAGTAACACTGAGCATTTACTTTAAATTCATTTCCCAAATCTATTTTAAAGTATCCAGTTTCAAGGAGGGGGGGTGAAACCTCCAACCTTATGAAACTTATGTACTTACTGGTTTGGGTGTGAAGTGGAAGTTACAAAGTGCATCCAGCTTCTGGAAGAGTGAATCCATCATTTCCTGAATTTCTTTGTGTTCAGGATTTTCTTCTTCTTCAGTCTTTTGCTGCATTAATAATGCAATGTTACTGCAACACCATTCATAAAGCTATTTTGCTTTAGCAAAACTGGTAACACAATACACAATTCAAAGCCCTTTCACTGCTGAACACTCAGAGAAAGACTGAAGTACTTCCACAAAGCTACAAGCAGAATTAGCAGGGTACAAAATAAGATTACATGATGTGAACTTCAAACTGAAGGGAAGAGCATTTCTTACATTACCTGGTGAAGTTTCATGTATTCTTGCTCATAGATCTCAGCAAGGCTCAGTTTACTCTTTTCATGATCCAAACTGATACGTTTCTTGTATTCAAAAGGCTCCTCATTTGGTTTTTCTTTTGGTACTACATCATCCCATGCCTGAGAAAGTAATAAATTAATGCCCAAATGCAACTACAGTCAAGTATCAGGTGCTACAACTTGTTTAGAACATCCTCCCATGCTACTTCTCTGACACACTACTTTATAGGTGTGGCTTCCCTGGAACATATTGTTTCAAATGTTGATTTTTAAAAAAAGAAAGTAATTAATGATTTACAGCTCTAGTTTATGTGCTTCTTTTCAGTGGATCAGGGTAAAAATTGTGTAACAAATACCATATGTGTGATTTTGTTAAGTACATTTAAATAATCTCCCCCATATGTAGCAATTTTTTAAATTCAACTAACAATAAGCCTCTACAAGCTGGGTGATAGAAATTTATCAGTGGCTTTCAAGAAAAAAAAAAGTAAATAATTGAGTTTTGTTTAGTGGTTAGAATCCTTAGAGTACTACAGTTATGGTCACAGGCAAAATTTACAGACTGGCATTATATTAAAAATAAACTCCTTACACTGTCATCTGCAAACACTCATTTTTTTGAAGTACACCAAAACCCAGCACATAAGAGGGATGTAAAAACAGAGCTCCTTGGAAATCTAATGACACTTTCATCAAGGAAAAAGAATAAAACAAGGAGCTGTAGAAATTAATTAAGATAATCTAATATTTTAAGAGCTTCAAACTCAACCTAGGAATGTGCCCTGTGAACCAAGTCTATGAACAAAACAGGGAGTACAAGTGAAATAATATTAACCTCATCCAATATTCTCTGTTTAATGAGATCTTCAAGCTGAAAAGTAGTTTCTTCTGTGATCACAGGTTCTGAGAGAAAAAAGATAAGAATTTTAAGATTAATGTTTCTCCAGCGAGAAATACTTTTTGTCCTTTGAAGAACAAACAACAGAAAAAGAAAGAAGCCTTAACAAATATGTAATAATTGAAGGAGGGGTAAGTAAATAATGTTTTTCTCTATGTTAAAGAGAGTAATCATTTACGTAAGGCTTGTAAATTACTGAATCTGCCACTGAACTAATTAACTTTGAGTTAAAATTGAACAGAATTATATCTCCCCATAGTTTCCACCATGAAAATGCACAACCTGAAAAATACACCAAGAGGTTCAATTGAAGTGTTTTGGTCCCCTGCTCCTGAGCCACAGGTGCTTTCAAGCAAGGCCAAAGGGAAGAAGATCCAAGGGGCAAGCAACACACTTTCAGGAACAGCCTCTCACCACTTACCCATGCGAACTGCGTGGTCAAAAAGTAGTGTTTCCTCCAAAAGGCTGTTTTCAGGTCGTTTTTGTCCAGTCACTTCTCCTTTAAGCTGCCAAGGTTTCTCCTCT